GCAGAGGCCGCGGGTCTACATGGATATCTCTGTGGACGGCAAGCCCCAAGGCCGGATCACCGTGGAGGTGAGCTAGTAGCACCTCGGGCAGCGGTGAATGGTCACTCCTTGCCTGGGGTATGGGCGGGGGGCGAATGCTACCGAATGTATTGATCAGTGTATGTATCTGATCGCATTATTTAGAAAAGCTAAGTTGGAGGTAAAATGAACAAAGCTCCACAATGGGACAAAATTCATCTCACTCCATGGCGTCATACTGCGGTTCTGCAGCATTGCAGCGTCCGTCACTTGACGTTCATAGTTGACCCCTCCTCTCCTCGGCCACCCTTCCCCAAAAAAAAGTGGTGTAGGAGTGGATGGAAGTCTGGCATTTACTACTGTTTAAGCCCACTGAGAAGCTGCGGTAAGTTTCGCGTCGCATAATGCAACGGAAATGGGCAATCAATGAGTCGCAACGTGCGTCTGCAACGTGCTGGAGCGGGTGGATTCCAGTGGCGGAGAGCAAACCAATTTCGTTCAGTTCAGCATTTTGCAGTTTTCGTTACTGAAATGTACGAGCACCAACGATTCTTTGAATTGAAGGTTGTTCTGATATTAGCTTGTTTTTCCTGTTATTTCTGACTTCAGTCATTTAGTGATTGAATGACAACTTTTTTTAAAGCCCAATGTTGGCCATGGGACTTAATTGTAGATGAGTCTTTTCATTACTTTGTTTCAGGTGGCACACTTCAACTAGGTTTTGTCTGCCGTTTCTAATTTCAGTCTTGTGGCTGCTGCAGGCATTGGGCCAGTAAAAAGTAGTGGGGGAGAATTATTTGCATATGCTTGCGCAGTAACTTGTAAAGAAAGTTTGCCCCCTTTTCCTGTACGGTAGCAAAAGGCTTGGAGTTGATGAATTGGGTAGGTTAGTGTATGAGATTTCTTTTGCTATTTTCATTTACTGGGTGTGGGTGTTGCTAGCATTAATTGCCTTGACCTACTGCGATTCATCTGGTGTAGGTAACTTGCAACATTAAGGAGGGAGTTCCAGGATTTTGAGACACTGGATGTTTGAATGTTGCATTTTTCAGATGAATCTCAAGAAATTAAGATGAATGTCATCAGTTTACAAATAAAATTAACAGATTATCTTGGTGAGGTGAGTTACTTGTTTATGGGCAAGTGAACCCAACAGTAGCCATTCATTCCCACTGAACTAGGCAATGACTTTAATTGACTAGCTTGACACCCTTTCAGAATTAGTTTTAATTAGACTGAGTATTTGGAAGAGAAAACAAGGTTGGAATAATGACTACAGCTGTTTTAAAACTTACATGAATACTGAAGCTGTGCTCCATTTGTCTCTTTCAGCTCTTTGCTGACGTGGTCCCGAAAACTGCAGGTAAGTTTGAAAAACTGACTTCTGATGAGGAACGGTTTGGTCTTTAGATGCATGCTCATACTCTGACTTCGTTGCAGAAAATTTCCGTGCACTGTGCACTCATGAGAAAGGGTTTGGTTACAAGAACTCGACATTTCACAGAATCATTCCTGATTTCATGTGCCAGGTGAGGGAGCAATGTAATCTTGTTTTGTTTGTAATATCCCTGTCTGTAGTTTGATTAAATGATTGACTTGTTCAACTCTCGACTGTTCAGGGTGGTGACTTCACAAGGCACAATGGCACTGGTGGGAAGTCCATCTATGGAGAGAAGTTTGCTGATGAGAATTTCCAATTGAAGCACACAGAACCTGGTAATTTTTAAAATATTTATTTGTGGTGAGAGCTTGATCTGTTTTCATCCTTTCAAAAAGGTTTATGTTGGGAAAGAAGGTAAGTGAGGAGAAGTGAAATCTTTATTTCCACCAAGACACAATGGCACTGGTAGGAAGTCCATCTATGGGGAGAAGTTTGCTAATGAGAATCTCAAATTGAGGCACAGCGAACCCGGTGAGTTGCTTTTCCTTTAGATGGTGAAGGAATGTTCAGAGTGCTAAATTCCTTCAGGGTGAGGAGGAGGTTGGAGTCAGCTAATAAAAAAGGCAGGAAGTTAGTTTTGAAGGAGCTCAAATGCTCTATGGGAAGACTGAAATTGAGAATCTTGTTGAAGTGGGTATCTGGGGAAGTGTGGTTTAGGCCATAATATTTGGTGCCATCTTAAAGCAGTCATCTAATGCTACATTCAAACTGCTTGAAATGATGTAATGAATTATATTGTAGACTTTTAAAAGTCAAACTTGTTACTTTTCTGAAATAAATTCTTTTTCTCCATTTCCATTCAGAGTAAAACCTATGTTTGCTACATTTTTGATGTCAGCTGTTAATTACATCTGCACCTGGCTACCAGTAGGAGGTTTTCTGCACTGGAATGTGCTATAATTGGCCATTACAGCACAACATCTTGTATGAAGAATATTGGAGTATCAGACATTGATTTTTCTCATTTAAAATATCCTAAAAGCAGTCTGAAGGAATAAAACACAATTCTTCCTCATTTTTGGCATCAATGTGGTTTGTCAAATACAACCTAGTTAAAATGACTTCAGACATTTCATTTGAGTTAAACTTATTTTTGGCTAGTTTAATGTTCCTCTTTCTGATTTAGCTACTCAACCTCCAAAGGAGTTCAGAAACTAATACTGACTAACTTACTTCTGGTTTAGGCTAGCAATGAAGCAGAAGAATGTAGAGCCTTTGAAAGAGTTTGATGCTTGTGTTTGATTTCAAAATCCTCTTGCATTTCTATCCTATGACAGAATTTGCTTGCAAATATGCCATGCTAACCTTAAGTCATTTTTCCTAATCCCTTCTCTTAGCTCCTGCTTTTAAAGAGTCTGGCTGCAAGAGCAGCTCAGGTTCACAATTCTGCACTGGGTAACTGACTACCTTATCTGACTCACCATTTTCTGAGATGTAAATCAGGAGCATAATTGAATTTTGAATACTCCCACTTGCTTGTATGAGTGCGTCTCCAACTGTACTCCAGTTCAAACCTTACAGGACTAAACAGACCACGTGGTTGGTGCCTAATTTAACATGTTCAACGTTCAATACCTCTGCTACTGAGATATTTGTAAGGTGTACTGCAACAACTCACCAATACTCCTAAATAGCACCTTTCAAACCTGTGACCCATACCGCCAGAAGGACAAAGGCAGCAAGTGCTTGGGAGCATAATGAACTGCACATTCCCCTCCAAGCACCTGGCCAATTTGATTTGGAATTGTATTGCCATTCCTTAGTCAGTTGAAATCACACTACTCCCACACACCACTGTGGGTGTACCTGTACCGCTTAGATTGCAATCAAGAAGGCAGCTAACCATAACTTTCTGAAGAGTAGTTGGCAATAGTGGCAAAATCCCATGAATGAACTTAGATGTGGGAATATCAGGAGAATTGTATTCAAGTTAATTGGTCATGATCTAGAATACCAGAGCAGACAGTGGGGGGCTAAATGAGCTCCTATTCCTACATTCCTTAATTTTAATTTTTTCTGTTGTAGGTATCCTGTCTATGGCCAATGCTGGGCCAAATACAAATGGATCACAGTTCTTTATATGTACTACTCAAACTGGTTGGTAAGTATATGATCACTTATCTACTTTTTTGTTTTTTCAATTAATTCATTAGCAACCACTGAATCTAATGTTGTTGAATCTTGTAGGTTGGATGGAAAGCATGTCGTATTTGGTAAAGTTGTAAAAGGCTACGATGTCGTGAGGAAGATGGAGGCATGTGGCAGTAGGGATGGCAAACCATCTAGTGCTGTTAGCATTGTTAATTGTGGCCAATGTGAATAGAATTGTACAATACAAATAAAACTTGATTACTTGAAATTCTAACTTTGCTTTGAACTGAATTATTGCATATTTATGACAATAGTTATGTAACATTCTAATCTACATGGAATGGAAAAAAAATCAGATGCACAAAGGTAGACTGGGTGAGAAGTTCACAAAATGTCTTGGACTACTTCCTAAAATAACTGATTAGAGAGCAGACTATACTAGATTTGATTGGAATATGGTTCCTCAGTCTTTTTTACAAAACCACATCTGGTTGCAACAACCATAATATCATTTGATTTTATGTTCAGTTTGAGGGAGGAGTGGGTCCATGACTTTGCTAATTTAAGGTTAATTGAGGGCACAAAAGCAGAGCTGGCCAAAGTAAATTGATAAATTGGATTAGAGAATGTGTAAATATAAATCTAGTAAACGGTGCCTTGACTGTGGGTAGGGTGCTGTTTGGTGAGTTGGTGTGATCTTTTTGGGTTGAATGGCCTGTTTCAAACTGTAGGGATTGAGTAAGAGGATATTGCAGAGTACACAAAAGGCACTTCAAGGGAAGTATTCTAAGGCACAGACCCACCATCTGTGGTTAACTATAGATATTGATGCCTTCAAACACAGGTTGGAGAATATATTTTTAAAAAGTAAAAATCTATATTTGAAGGAAAATATTATAAAAGTTGTGTTGGTCCAATAATTGAAACTGGAAAATTAATGGTAAATGAAAACAGGGTTTTTATTAATTCGTGGGATGATGATGCTGCCTAGGGCAGCATTTATTGCAGATCCCTAATTGTCCAGAGGGTAATAAAACACCAATTATGTTGCTACGGGTCTGGAGTCACGTAGGCCAGACCAGGCAAGGATAGTAGTTTCCTTCCCCAAAGGACATCAGTGTACCACATAGGTTTTCTGACAATCGGCAATGGATTTATGGTTGACGTTAACTCTTAATTCCAGGTGTTTATTGGGTTCAATGGCCATCATTAGTCATGGCAGAGTTTGAACCCTGGTCCCCCAGGAATTTAGCTGGGTCTCTGGATTCACAGTCCAGCAATAAGGTATTATCTTCACTGATGGAGATGCACTTCACTACACAGGATACAAGTAACATCCCAGGAGTAGCTATCAGGAAATGGGTGTTGGGGGAGGAGGAACTCAGTGAAACCTGAATCACTAGAGCAATATTGAGTAAGCTGTTGGACCTATGGGTTCTGATGGACTTCCACTAGCATCTTTAAACAAGTATTTAGTAAGGTAGTTGGTTTTAATTCAGATTTCCATTATATTGGAAGATAGCAAATGCAACTCTGTGGGTAAATCACAAGTTACCATTAATTTGGTTATGAAGAAATCTCAATCAAGTACTGAAAGAATGATTTAAACTTTATTTCAGTAAATCAAAATAAGACCCCTTATGTAAGCAAGTTAAGCCTCCACTCAACTGCCTATTGCCTGATTAATGGTGGAATGTAGCTATGATTCCAATCAACATTGTCTCTCTGGAGCAGTGCTGCAGATGCTGGAAGTTAGAGTAAATAAATGTGGAGCTGGAAAAATGCAGCAGGTCTGACAGCATTCAAGGAGCAGGAAAGTCAATGTTGCAGGCCAAAACCCTTCGTCAGGACTGGGGAGGGGAACCCAGAAATAAATAGGAGGGACATGGGGCTGGCGGCAGGGTAGGTGAGATAGGTGGATGCAGGTAGTGATACCATAGTTGGTCAATGGGAAGTAGAGCAGGTAGGTGAGTCAGAAGATGGACAGGTTGGGGGAGGAGAGATTTTGAAGCTGGTGAAGTCAACATTCAGGCCATTGGGCTGTAAGCTCCCAAGGTAAAGTATGTAGTGTTCTTCCAGTTTACATTTGGCCTCCCTGACAGTGGAGGAGGCTAAGGATGGACATGTCACCAGGGGAATAGGTGGGGGACTTAAAATGGATGGCAACTGGAAGGTTGGGTTGGTTGATGTGTGTAGAGTACAGATGCTCTGCAAACTAATCCCCAAGTCTGCATTTGGTCTCCCTGATTATAGAGGAGACCATGTCGGAAGCAATGGATAAAGTTGATAAGGTTAGATGAAGTGCAGGTGAATCTCTGCTGGATTTGGAAGGAAGTGAGAGGGGAGATTTGGTTGCACCTCCTGTGATTGCAGGGAAAGGTACCAGGTTTGGTGAAGGGGTTGGTTGGGAGTGTGGAGCTGACGAGAGTAGTGGAGTGAACAGCCTTGTAGGAAGAGGACTGGTGGGGAGGGAAATGTCTTTCTGGTGTTGGGGTCTGATTGTAGGTGGGGAAAATGTCAGAGGATGATGCATTGTATTTGGAGGTTGGTGGGTTGGTATGAGAGAACTAAGGGGACTTTATCCTTGTTGGGGGGAGAGGGTTTGAGAGCAGAAGTGTGGGAAATACAGGAAGATGCAGTTGAGGGTATCCTTAATAAAGAGATGGGGAGAATATGGTTTCTGAAGTAGGAGGATAACCGGGAAGACCGAGAGTAGAACAGCTCATCCTGGGAGCAGATGTGGCTCAGGCACTGGAATTGTATGGTATAGAATTTTTGAAGGAGGGTGTTTGAGAGGAGATGTAGTTGAGGTAATTGTGGTAGTCAGTAGGTTTGAAATGGATGTCTGTGGTGAGTCAGTTACTGAAGATGGAAACAGGTGTCCAGGAAGGGGAGGGAGGTGTCAGAAATGGGGAAGGGGTGAAGTTGATAAACTGTTCAAGCTCCTCACGGGAGCACAAGGCAGTACCAATACAGTCATCAGTATAGCAGAGAAAGAGGTGGGGGATGGTGCCGGTGTAGTTGTTGAAGAGGGTCTGTTCCACGAATCCTACAAAGAGGCAGACATCGCTTGGTCCTTTGTGGGTGCCCGTAGCAACCCCTTTGGTTTGTGAGAAGTGGGAGAAATCAAAAAGAAAAATTGTTGAGGGTGAGCACCTGATCCACCAAGCAGATAAGAGTGTCAGTGGAGGAGGAGTGGGTGGGCTTACAGGAGAGGATGAAGCAGAGGGCTTTTAGGCCGTTCTTGTGGGGATGCAGGTATACAGGTACTGAATGTCCATGTTGAAGATGAGGTATTGGGGCCAGGGAATTGAAAGCTTTGGAAAAGTTGGAGGGTGTGGGTTGTGTCCTGAATGTACGTTCCTGGACTAAAGGAGAAACAATGGAGTTGAGGTAGGAGGAGATGAGCTCGGTGGGACAGGAGCAGGCAGAGACAATGGGTCAACTGGGGCAGTTAGGTTTATGGATCTTGGGTAGGAAATAGAAACGGGCGGTGTGGGGTTGGGGAACTATCAGGTTTGAGGCTTTAGGTGGTCAATCTCCTGAGGTGATGAGGTTTGTGATGGCCTGGGTGATGATGGCTTGGTGATAAGAGGTGGGGTTGTGATCGAGAGGACAGTAGGAGGAGGTGTCAGAGAGTTGATGTCTGGCCTCAGTGATGTAGAGGTCAGTTCAGCATACTACCACTGCACTTCCCCCTTGTCGGCAGGTTTAATGGTGAGGTTGGGGTTGGAGCAGAGGGCTGTGCATTCCGATGGGAAGAGGTTGGAGTAACTGAGAGGGATGGAGAGATTCAGGCAATTGATGTCACAGCGGCATTAGAGATGAAGGGGTCAAAGGAGGGTAGGAGGCCGAAGGGTGTGTCCAGTAAATGTGCAGTTTGCTGGTGGTGGGAGAAGGGGTCGTCAGAGGGTGGGTGGAATTTGCGATCAAAGAAATAGGCGCAAAGGTGGTGATAAAAGAACTTGACGTTGAGGCGTGTGTGTAATTTGTTTGTGTGTGGACATGGGAATGAAGGTCAGTCCTTTGGTGAGGATTGACCATTCAGCCTCAGTGAGGGGGACATCTGGGGATGGTGAATACCCAGCAGGGTTTGGGGCTGGGGCTGAGTTTTGAGCTGGAGACTGCAACTGGAGTGGATCTGTGTACAGAAGCAGTCACGTGGGTGGAAGCAGAAGTAACAACTTGGTCAGTGGTCGTTACATGGTCAATGGCATCAGGGGTCATCTCTGGAAGTGTCAAGGATTTGATGCTTGTGCAGTGTTGTTCTTCGAAGTTCTGCGACTGAAAGTTCTTGAAATTGAATTCTTAAACAATTTTCTCTCTTTCAAGTTTACGGTGTGAGATTATAGAAGCTTTAGATTCTTTCATCCCCAACATTAATTACATTTTTGGAGACCTCGATCTGTAGCTTGCCTTATCAGAAGTAGCTCCCCCTGATCCTTTTACATCCAGTGTTAGCTGTCTGTTTTAAATAACCTGTCCTGCAATTAACTCCTTACATTTTTCAGCAAGTTCCTTCTGTAGGTAGTCTTACTTACCTATTTGTCATGAGGTAGCAGGTTATCATGCAGAAACAAATACATAAATTGCTGAAAAAGCGCTGAGTCTGCCAGAATCCGTGGAGAGAAATCAGTTAATGTTTCAGGTCCTGTAACCCTTCAGAATTTGTTATCAGGCAGTGTTACCTCTCAAGAAGCACCTTGTTTATGTTGCATTGCTTCCTTCCAAGGTTATTGGAAGGTTAATGTTATTTTTAGTTCCTTTATAACAGTTTCTTTTTGTCCCTTTCATCTTGGCGAGACAACCTATTCCAGAAAGAGTTATTGCTGATTCTTTCAAGCCATGAAGTTATTGAAGCTCTGAACTTTACATTTTCACATCCTTTATTGAAAATGGGAGGCATACAGAAAGCAGGAAAAGGTAGGCTAATGAGCTTAATATGTTAAAGGGACAAAGATAATTTTCTGAAGAGGCAACTTGTTATGGATAAAGAGGAACTGATAGATATGGTGCTTAAATTTCTCGAATTAATAAGGTGCAACAAAGTTGCTGAAGGTAGGTGTGGGGTTGGCTGTAAATGGTGAGAGGTTGGCATGAATAGAAGATTGATTGACTTAAATAAATGGCTCAGATTCAAAAGATGTAACAAATGGTTAGCCTCAGTGGTGCTCGGCATCAATTGTTTACCATTCATATAAAAGCCTTAGGTGAAGGAATGGAAGGTATGTTTGGTGAATTTACTGACAACAAAGTAGGAAAATAAGTTGTGAC